GAATGCAACATTCTTATCCAATAAGCATACATACTATGTGCAAGTCTTTTCCGGATTTATTTGATATCCCATCTCGAAATATCCAACGACTTGGAACTGTATTTAAGATCACAACTTTCAAGATATGTTCCATGATCACCATCTCTATGCGCAACCATATCTTATAGCTATAAGTGATCTAGGGATTTTATCTTAAGTGCAAATATATGATAAATGTTTATTCTTAAAATAAAGTAATGCCTTATTATTTAATATAATTCCAATAGATTGTATTTACAAGTAGAATATGTCCAATTCGGTTGGAACGCTGGGTATCCTACTCTAACAATATTCACGGATAATAGGGAGTCTGATGTACTTGACGAATTGTACACGACTAGACTTGGCCTATCCGGTGAATAAGTTGAGCAGATTTATGAGCAATCCCAGTCATGAACACTGGAATGCTTTGAGAAGAGTATTTAAGTACTTGAGGTACACCCTTGAATACGGGATAAAATACTCGAGATATCCAGCCGTACTTGAAGGGTACTGTGATGCAAGCTGGATATCAGATTCGAGAGATTCTCGCTCCACTAGCGGATATATTTTTTGTATTGAAGGAGGTGCAGTTTCGTGGAAATCCACAAAACAAACGTGTATAGCTCGGTCAACGATGGAATCGGAGTTCATCGCTTTAGATAAAGCTGGTGAAGAAGCTGAGTGGCTTAGAAATTTTTTATCCGATATTCCATGTTGGGATAAGACTTTGCCGCCTGTGATGATTCACTGTGATAGCCAAGCTGCTATAGGTAGGGCGCAAAGCAATTTGTATAACGGTAAGTCTAGACATATTCGTCGTAGACATAATACCGTACGACAATTGATCATAATTGGTATTATTTCCCTTGACTATGTGAAGTCTAAGGAAAATTTGGCTGATCTTTTGACGAAAGGATTGAATAAAGATCAATTGGCAGTTTTGCTAGAGGGAATGGGCTTAAAACTCTACAATGTAAAGAATAATCATAGTGGTAACCCTACCATGCTGAGTGGAGATCCCACGAACTTGGTTCAAAGGGAAAACTAAGCTATGAAAATTAAGTTGAGCACTTGGAACATATGAATGTCCAAAGCTATTCCCTAGAGCACTCTAAGTGCAAGATTACCTGTTGATTGTGGTGAGGGTAAGTCATATGGACTTTTAATGAATCCCTAACCTTGTAAATGTGAAGTATGGCAGGATACTCTTTATAGGGAGGTCACCTATATAAGTGTGAAGTGTGGGCCGCTTCAATTGTAAACACTTATGAATCCATTGTGTTGTCCATGGCCAAAACGGACACAACGATAGAACGGAATGGAGTTAAGACTCTATTGTGTGAATGTCATTGTCTCGGAGTACACTATGGAAGAATAGTTCAAGGCATTACGTCCACTAGGCCGCCAGTGCATCCGATGATGTTTACTAAGAAAGGTTAAAAGTCAAAAGCTACCTTTTCTGATGCAATAGAGTTTTGTGAGTATTGAGCACACTTTAGTCTATATATACTAATTTACACTCATGTGGGGGATTGCTGTAAATGAGTGTAATTGGGCCCCACCTTTTATTTATTGGTGCAATTGGTGCTACTTGAGTCACTAATAATTGTAATTGAAAGCTTAATCATGTGGAGGCATCTTTTAGCATGTGAAAGACTTATTAATTGAAATTGAGATCTGTAACCATGTGAGAGCATCTTAAGCATGTGGAGTCATCACAATTTGCTCATCAGTTTCACCTATAAATAGAAGGCCCGACAGAAGAGAAATGCGTACCAAAGAAGAAGAGAAAAAAGAGAGAAGAAAGAAAGATAAAGAAAAGAAAAAATAGATTTATGTCCAAATATCGGATATAAAAATATCAAAAGTGAAGAAATAAGTGATATTTTTATTTGTTTTATGATATTCTTTTTATTTCTAAGTGCTCAATTCTCGACTCCGTTATAGTTCGCCGGAGCTCGTAAATCTGGTGTGCTACAGATTTAGAGACGTTTGTTGTTGTATCTTTTGGGAAGTTACGCCTGAACCGTTATTTGACACACGGGGCGTATTCTTCTTGCGGAAAGAGTTTTACTCGCCTCGGCTAAAATCTTTTCGTTTTCCAGTTGTAATTTATTTTTTCAGATCTATTGTAATTTTCTATTTTTAGATTATTTGTAAGAACTGAAAAATATGTCCATTGCAAATGGAGCTGGAAGAGTCATTGTTGACAATTCTCCTGGCATAGTGCTAATAATGGACTTGATCAAAATGGCTCAATTATATTCTAGTGCTTCTTTTATTAGTGAAGTTTCTAGAAAAATATATCAAACGACGCAATGCAACTTGGGTCGCTACGAAAACAACCTCCTTGTATAATTACAAGGATAAGGTCTGCGTACAACAGACCCCCCAGACCCCAACCTGTTTGGGAATATACTGAGTATGTTGATGTTGATGTTGATGTTGATGTTGTAAGAACTGAAAATTACATATCAGTTCGTAGGATTCCCGTGTAATTTCACACTAAGTATCCAACAATAACCGCTTGATTTGTTGGGATTAAAGTGAAAATTAATAAGAATTATACGAGATCGCTGCTCAATACCCGCTCGTACGTCCAACTTAACTCAAGTTTGGTAGGCGAATATTTATTATTTAGCCTACTCATTTCTTGTTAGGGAAATTATTTACTTAGGGCTTCGTGGGATTCTATTTGTTAACTTCTGCTTCATTATGGATAATTGGTCAAGTTTATGAACTAAAAATATTATCTTGAGATTTTATCTCTTGTTTTCTCTTTCGTAAGTTTTCGCTACATCAGTTTGTTATATTGTTTGTATAATATTACAATAATAAATGTATATTATATTGTGAATGTTGCTATAATATATGATAGTGATTTTTTATTTTTTTTTTCCTGTTGGTGCAAAAAAGTGATTCCTAAGCAAACATTAAACAATCAAACCATGAATTGAGGAAAGAAAGAGGAAAACGTACTTTGAAACCTTAGTTAGTGGAATATAACCAAACAATTTAAGTATTTGAGCTGCAATTTCGCAGTCGTCAAAAGAGAACAAAGGCATTATATGAAACAATAGTTAGGCAATCTTTCATTAAACAAAAAATGCAGCCACATACTTTGAACTCAACATAACGGACTCGTGATTCCAGTTTCCGTAAGCTATGACGTTTGGCACCAATTTAGGGAACCTAGCAATGTTTGAGGAGAATCATTTATTTTGTTTTTAAATTTTATTTGCATAAGTATAGTAATATAAAATTATACTCCCTTTTATTTTTAATATTTGTCACTCTGCCTTAAATAAATGTCGTTTTGACTATTTTGTTTATATTTTTCTATTTTTAACCCTCCATCTAATGCACAGTATCTCTTCATATCTCATCTCCATTGTTTCCCATAACATCCATTAAATAGGGTTAATATTGGAAAAAAAAAAATTTAATTAACGTGTTGCTTCTCAAAACGACAAATAATGAAATTGGAGGGATTAACTTTTATCCAATGGCTACCTTGAAAATTAATTGAATTGACTGGTGTAGAAAAGACGTCTGACCTTCTTGAACGAGCTAGAAACGTCTGAATCTCGAGCTGGTTGTCGGTTGAACGTCTTCGGACCTGCAGAACTCTCACACCTGAGGGGGGTCTCCGGTGAAGAGCCACCAGTGTCTAAGTTAGCACTTGAAAAAGAAGTCTAATAGAGAATGTAATGTGTTTCAAGGAATAAGAGGCGCTAAGTAGTAATAAAGGGCGGTGTTTAGTAATAAAGGGCGGTGTTTAGTAACACCTAAATTAAAATTAAAATTTTATCTTATTGTGCACTTAAATTTTCAAAATTGTAGGAAAAAATATTTTCAATTTTTTGGGAACATTATATATGCCCTATTTTCTTGAAATATATACTTATTAATAATTATGCTTAAAAATGTAGATCTATTTAAAAATGCAAATAAGCTTAAAATAATAAGTAAGAAAATTTATTTTAAATTATTTTTATTATGAATATTTTTCAAAAAGTTTTTAATAAGTGTTAAAAATATATTACCATTATTTCCTAATGATACATTTATTTTAATACATTATAAATGATAAATATAATTAATGGGTTCGGATGATGTGTGCGAAATAGAAATTGCGCCCGACCGAGATGGCTATATAATTCTTTCACAAGTTTTAATCCTTTCACAAGTTAAAAGAGTAAGTGAGAAAAATTATTTAAATTATTTTTATTAAAAACATTTTTTCAAAAAAAAATTGGTAAATATTGAGAAAGTATATTACCATTCTTTCCTAACAATAAGTTTAGTTTGTTTTTAATAATTTATAAAAGGTAAATATAACAAATATACTATTCTTTCACAATTTTTTTATTTTTACTTTTTGTTGGTTGCAAGTTACAGTTTTACTTGATTTTTTTACATAGAATGATTATTAATCGAGTAACTTAACAAAAACTGTATAAAACCATTTATTATATTATTTCATGATAAATGAGATGCAAATATTTTACTATATAATTAAGTTGGAGTGTCTATTTTCACTTAATTTAATGTCAAATATTGTTTATTATGCTTAAAATTGATATATTTTTTTTATGAAGATGTAATTTGTATATTTTTTTATGAAGATGTAATTTGTATAAATAAATAGATTGTTTTTTTTAATTATGCTTGTCAAATACAAATTAATAAATAAAAAACTATTAAATATTCCTTCTAAGAAAATAGATAATAATAAAAAAATAGATTAGATTGGATTTTTTTAATTCGTATTATTTAATAGAATTAGGAAGTATATATACATTTTTTCTTAGATAAATTGATTTATGCGTTTTGGTTTTCTTTATTTATTTAGAACAATATGATTTTTAATTATATTGTAATTTAACTAATATTTAAAATCATTGCCAATATTTTCAATGTAATGACGGTATAAAAATTACAATAAATAAAAACTACTCATTTACCAATTCTACCATTTACTTTTCCACTCCAAATTGAAGATTCAACGCCCCTAATAAAGATTTCATATAATTTTTAATAAAAAATGTTTCAATTGTGTGACTTAAGAGAAATGAGTAAATCATGTTCATGTTTCTCAATATTAAATTTATAAAATTAATTTAAATATTAACATGGTATTTATTTTTATAAAAATTATTGTTAATATTTATTTCCCGCATCATATTCATAAAAAATTATTTTTATTATGTCATCTCGACTTTGAGTGAATGAGAGAATGATTCAACTTTCAAATTACAATATAGGAAATTCATAATTTGTCTCATATGATTGGTCCCAAAAGTTGATAACATCTTGCACATGGTCCTGTTAATTTTAAATTTCATTCAAAAAAAAAAATTTGTCTAAAAGTAAGTCAAACTACTTAAACAAAAAGTCAACTTTTCACTTTTGAATTAACCATCAAAATAATTTGTTTTTATTCTCGACGAACTTGAAAAACTCATTCTTTTTTTTTTTTTT